ACAAAAAAAAAAAAAAAAAAAAAAAAAAAAACTGGACTGTGCTCCTTCTGTGTCTATTTTGAGGAGTAATTTGAGGTATATTGGCCTGAACTCTTCTGTGAAAGTCTGATAAAATTCTGCACTAAAACCACCTGGCCTTGGGCTTTTTTGGGGGGTGGGGTTGGAAGACTTTTAATGACTGATTCTCTTTCACCAGAGGCTATAGGTCTGTTTAAGTTGTTTACCTGTTCTTGTTCTAACTTTGGTAAGTGGTATGTACTGGGAAACTCATCCATTACTTTTAGATTTTCCAATTTGGTAGAGTAAAGCTTTTGTCTTATGTCCTACTGATTTGCTGGATTCCCTTTCTGTCTGTTTTTATGTCCTGCTTTTATCTCAAATACTGTTCATCGGATCTTCTTTTCTCTGCCTTTTGGGTAATTTGGCTAATGGTTTGGAACTCTTACTGACTTTCTCAAGAACCAACTCTTTGTTTCATTGGTTTTTTTTTTTCTTATAGTTATTGTTTCTATTTTATTGATTTCAGTCCCGAGTTTATTTCTTAATTTTGTCTTTTTTTTGTTCTAGAGCTTTCAACTGTGGTGTTAAGTTGGCGTATAGATCCTCTCTAATTTCTTTATGTTGGTACATAGTTGTATGACATTTAATATTCTTTCTTTGTCCTGTACATTTAATGTCTTATTAATGTTTATGTGGTCCATTTATTTGGTGTTTTGTATGCTTCTTCTGCCTTGATAGGCATTATATTCTTTAGATTAGGGGGATTTTCTTGTGTGATTTTGTTGAAAATATCTCCCGTGCCTTTCGCCTGGGTCTCTTCTCCTTCCTCTGTTGTTATCCCTAGATTTGGTCTTTTCATGTGTTCCAGATCTCTTGGATGATCTATGCAGGAATGTTTTTAGCCTTACCATTTTCTTTGACTGAGGTATCTGTTTCTTCTATTCTGTCTTCAACGCCAGCATTTTCTCTAACATCTCTTGTTATTCTGTTCGTGAGGCTTGCCTCCGAGGTTCCTTTTCTAGTCCCCAACCTTTTCATTTCCAAATTTTCCTCAGTTTGGGTTTTCTTTATTGATTCTGTATCTACTTTCAGATCTTGTACTGTTTGAATCATATCTTCCCACCGTGTTTTCATAGATTTCTTTTGAGGCATTTCTTCGTTTCCTCTTTAACAACCTCTGTTATATTTATAAAGCCCATTTGAATGCATTTCTCTTGTTCTTCAGCTGTCTTGCAATACTCAGGTCCTGCTGTAGTAGGGGTGTTGGACTTTAGTGCAGACATACCACAGTGGTTGTCACTGTGTTTTTACACTGGCATCCAGGCATCTGGATTTGTGTAACTCTCGGTGCTGGTATCTGGTCTTGTCTTTGTTGGGTGAGTGTTTTGTTTCTTGGTTTCTGGTACCCTCTCTGGTTCTTCGGAGAGTGTGGGGCTGTGTTTTTGGTAGGGAATTCCTTTGGGATCCTGATAGGTGTGGCGACTGGGGTTCCAGGTAAAATGTGTTTCGAGGTATCGGGAGCAGTAATGGGGGGGGTTGTTGAAGGGTCCCATAGGAGGGAGGAAAGCAGTCATTCCACTAGGGTCTGCTTAGTCCCCTAGGAATGAGGTCAGAGAGTGAGGAGATGCTACAGGAAGTAATCTGCTACAGAGCTGGGTTTGGGACTGGGGATTGGCCTTGGAGGAGTGGAGAGAGGGGTGAAGATCTGCAGATTATTAACCTACTGTTTCCCTGCACTTGGTGACCTGTGGCTTTCCAGGGGATCTCTGGTGGAGTTGTGGGTTGGGATAAAGCAGTGACTGGGGAGAAGGAAGTTAGGGGGTTTGGATCTGAGTGACCAGCTATACGTGGGGACAGGGATGAAGGGCAGGCCGCAGCAGGTGGTCTGCTGTAGATCTAGGAATGAGACTGGGGATTAGGTTGGGAGGAAATGGGAGAATAGATAACCGTCTACAATTACCATACCAGTTTCCCTGGCCAGAGATCCTTAGTTTTCTTTAAAAGTCTAATGTATCATCTCCCCTTTCTTTCTCCCCGCCACACGCACACCCAGACAGACAGTCTCCCTATGTAGTTTGTCACCTCTGACTGCCTGTTACTGGGGTCATTGCCATTGTGGACCACCACCATCACCACCACAGACTTTTACTCCCTTCTTTTTTTTTTTTCTTTTTTTTACAATTCCAGGCCTTGACCAGTGTTTTTAATGCATGACAGATAGTTTGTTCAAAAACCACCAACTCCTGTGTATTTCCTATAGTATGCATAAAGCACCTAAGATTATTTTAGTACAGATTGTCTTAATCTCTTTAAGCAGACATGCTTTCTCATTTCCAACCTGTTCCGCAGTGTACTGTCTCGTATAAACCTCTCTCTCTCTCTCTCTCTCTCTTTGCTATTGGTGAGCTCAGAAAATACTGAGTTGGGCCATTGATTGAATGGATTTTGTCTGTGTTTGTGGTTTGTGTCACAGGAAAATAAAATAGTCTTGCTTTCCCATTTCTTTCAGATTTGGAGTCAGATTGTGAAGCTCAAAAACGATCTCCAGGCAATCATAATATAAATCCATCCAAAGAGAGCATAAAACATATAAGTAAAACTTCTGACCTCCAGGGCTCCAGTGTTAGTCATGGCCCCAACTCCAGGACATTCAAGGGACTACAGACTTGTCAAGCAGGAAACGATGAACAAGGAAACAAGGAAACAATGCCCTCTTACCCCAGACAGCGTCTGACTCACAACACAGAAAAGGCGTATGAATGTAAAGAATGTGGGCAGTACTTTGGTTGTAGTTCAACTCTTATTCAGCATCAGAGTGTTCATACTGAAGAGAGACCCTATGAATGTCAGGAATGTGGGAAAACCTTCAGACTCCACCAACAACTTACAAGACATCAGAAATCGCACAGTGGTGAGAAGCCTTTTGAATGCAAGGAGTGTGGGAAAACCTTCAGACTCCCCTACCTTCTTATAAGACATCAGACATCGCACAGTGCTGAGAGACCTTTTGAATGCAAGGAATGTGGTGAATCTTTCAAGCGTAAATCCAGTCTTTCGCAACATAGGGTTATTCATTCTGTTGTGAAACTATATGAATCTAATGAGTATGGAAAGGCCTCTAATTGTCAGTCAGACTTCATGGAACAACAGAAAACTCATTCTGGTGAGAAACCCTTGCAGTGTAAGGAATGCAAGAAGGCCTTCACTGTACTAGCAAAGCTCATCACTCGGACCAAGAACAAGCATCCTGGAGAGAAATCCTTTCATTGTAAACAGTGTGGCAAGGTACTCAGTAATGGCTTATACTTTGAGCAGCACCAGAGTGTTCAGACAGGTGAGAAACCCTTTGGGTGTAATGTGTGTGAGAAGGCGTCTAGGCTTCAGTCATACCTCTCTGAGCATCAGAAAACTCACACTGATGAGAAACCTTTCAAGTGTAAGCTGTGTGGGTCAGCCTTCAGACGTAAGTACCACCTTACTGAACATCAGGGCATTCATACCGATGAGAAACCCTATCAGTGCAAGGACTGTGGGAAATACTTTCGTCGACGTTCGAATTTTACTGTGCATCAGAGTATCCACACTAATGTGAAACCTTTCAAGTGTAAACTCTGTGGGGCAGCCTTCAGACTTCAGTCTCTACTTACCCAACATCACAGAATTCATACCGATGAGAGACCTTACCATTGCAAAGAATGTGGGAAAAACTTCCGTCGACGTTCAAATTTTACTGAGCATCAGAGTATCCACTCTGGAAAGAAACCCTTTGAGTGTAAGCAATGTGGGAAAGTCTTCAGACTTAATATCCATCTCATTCGCCACCAGAGATTTCATAGTGGCGAGAGAGCTTTTGAATGTACGGAGTGTGGAGAGGCCTTTCGTCTTCGTGCCCACCTTAAGAGCCATAAAATAATTCATTCAAATGAAAAACTGTTTGAATGTGAGGAATGTGGGAAGTCCTTCAAGCGTGTCTCCACCCTTGTCCAACATAGGAATATTCATGCTGGTGTGAAACCATTTGAATGCAACGAGTGTGGGAAAGCCTTTAATCGGCGCTCAAACCTCACACAACATCAGAAAATTCATTCTGGTGAGAGACCCTTTCAGTGCAAGCATTGTGGGAAGGCCTTCACTGTTCTGGCACAGCTCACTCGCCACCAGAACATTCATACTGGAAAGAAATCATTTGAATGTGAGCAGTGTGGGTCAGCTTTCAGACTTCATTACCAACTTACTCAGCATCAGAAAATCCATACTGATATCAAACCCTATCAGTGCAAGGTATGTGGGAAAGGCTTTGTTCGTGGTACAGGCCTTAGAATTCATGAGAAAACCCATACCGGTGATAAGCCCTTTCTATGTAAGGAATGTGGGAAGTCCTTCCGAATTCAGACGGAACTTACCCAACATCAGAGAACTCATACTGATATCAAACCCTACCAGTGCAAGCAATGTGGAAAGGGCTTTGCTCGTGGTAGAGGACTTCGACTTCACGAGAAAATCCACACTGGTGAGAAGCCCTTTCGGTGTTCAGAATGCAGGCAAACCTTTCGATATCATTACCAATTTCTTGGACATGTTAGAATGCATGCTGGCAAGAATCCTTATGAATGAAAGAATGTGGGAGCTACGTTACTCGTGATGGATACCTTAAAGCACATCAGAGAATCCACACTGGTGAGGAACCTTACCAATGTTAAAAATGTGAAAAGCCCTTTAGTTGAAAATCAAGCTTAGTTTGGCATGCTTAAGTTCATATTAGTCAAAAGCCTTATGGATGTAAAGAATGTGGAAAGGCCTTTAGCATTGAGTCTAAGCTAGTTAATTGTATATCAGAGAATTCATTATGGTTAAAAAAAAAAAACATTAATGGAAGAATTGTGGGGAAATAATCTAGATTTAGTTGCGTCTTCATAAGCACAGTGGATAAATCATTCTGGTATCAAACCCTGTCACTGTAAAGTAGACTTCAATTGGAGCTCAGACCTTCAACATAAAGAAATCCATGCTGGTGTGAAACCCTATGAATGCAAGGAATGTGGAATTCATAGAATTAACTTCTCTAAAACCTCATGAGAGAGTCCATATAGATCTGAAACCTCATGAATGTAAAGAATGGGAAATCCTTTATTGTAAATGGCAAGTTTATGCTACAACAGAAAATACCCACTCCCCAGGAGTCCTGTGCATGTAAAGACTATAAACAATTCTGTGTATCAGAGTACTCGTACTGGCAAGACTGCAACGGAAAAGTATGTGGAAAGAACTTTAATTTGCCCTAGAATGAAATGTCAAGGATCCTTGATATCAAGGATCTCTCTGCAAATGAGAATGCGGGAAGTTTGTCTGTCATGGGTGATGCTCTGTTGAGAATTGTGTGTGAATGTCAGAAGTATAGGACGGCCATCATGTTCTTGATTCACTCTCGTCTTGTTCATTGTATAAACATAATTCCCATAATCCCTCAAACACTACTCTCCCAGGACAGTCGACTTAGAGAGAGCTGTTATTGGAACTAGGTTTATCTGAGGCTCCTTCCTTGTCACCACTCATGTTCCGTGGCTCCTGTCATAGTCGACTGAACATTTACTTTCTTTGTGTATAATTTGTTAGTGGCAAGCACAGTACCGGCCAAAGTTGTGGGGGGAAAGGGTCGTTATAAATAATAAAAATCTTGAAAGAATATTTGGCTCATTCCCATGTTTTGTAAAATAGCTTTTATATTGTTCTCCATTTATTGGCATTACTGTAACTCATATGAGAGGCAAAAGTGTATTGCAGATAGTTTAGGAAAAAATGCATTCATCCACTGTTAAATTTAAAAGAACATTCTGGATAAAATCTGGTGGATGAAAAGGAACAAAGAAGGATCTTTATTGTAAATCCATTACTTAAATATTTGTGTGGAGATGTTCAAAACAGCTGTTCTGAAATAAGTCCTTTTCAAAGGAGTTAAACCCATAAATATTTGAGAGGGTAATACCCTGTAATTTATGCTCTCTGCCCTGATGTAAAGATAAACTATACATTTGTGACAGGGCAAGAATTTGTCTTCTTTGATGGAGACTTGTGGAAAATTACCCAAAACTGTACTCAGAGCCTGAGGTCCAGATGCCCCTGCTAATTTATCTTGACTTACATTAAACTATCTGTACGTACAAACATCTCCATCCACATAAATGCTTATCTTGGCTTCTGTTAATCTGCCTGCTTGGGCAAAAGCTCCCCATTCAGCTGTTGAGCAGGATGACAGGACGTGGTTTTTGCTCTAATTGCTTGGAACTACACTTGTAGTCCCAGGCCACTGAAATAGACTCAGTTAGCTATAAACTGTCTGAGTGGTCTTCTCTGGTGGGCTCCCCATAAAAAATTAACAAAAGCAGCCAAATCAAAACCACTTATGGTCAACAACACACTTTTGTATCCTCTCCTAGATTCAAAATTGTTAACATCCCTATTTCCATCCTGTATGTATGGGTATTTGGGGCTGTACTGTTAAGAATACATTTAGAGTGGGGTGAGGTACTGCATGCCTGGAACCCAATAATTGGAAAGCCAAGGCAGAAAGATCAAGAGTTGGAGGCAAACCTAGCTACATAGTGATTTCAAGTCCAACTTTAGCTGTATAGAGACCCTTTATTTAAAAAACTAGTAGTCTGGCTGAAGAGATGGCTCAGAGGTTAAGAGCACTGACTGCTCTTCCAGAAGTCCTGAGTTCAATTCCCAGCAACCACATGGTGGCTCACAACCATCCGTTGTGAGACCTGGTGCCCTCTTCTGGTGTGCAGATGTACATGGAAGCAGAATGTTGTATACATACTAAATAAATAAAATCTTAAAAAAAAAAAAAAAGAAAAGCAAATACATCTGGTTCGCAAAAGAACACAGTCTGGTGGATGTGGGCGTGCTACAACTGGTCCCCATCCACTTTGTCATCTGATAGATGCTGGAATCTGTCCAAATTCTCAGCAGATCAGGGCCACGGGAATGTGATCTGAAAACTGCAGTTGCCTCCCTGTGTGCCCAAATGGGGACTTCCCAGCACTCCCACCCAGGAGCCCAGCTCATTGGCACTTCCTTCTCTGAAGCCTCACCCCCAAGCCAGGGCTGTCTGTATCGTCCACCAGGAAACCTCCATCCTAATAGCTGTGTGGGGAGAAGACCCTTGAGGTGAGTGACAGACACCAGAGAGCTTGTAGCCCTTTGCATCTGGCTTCTGGGCCTTTGTGCGTGTGTCCCTGGGAGAGTGGTTCCCACTGTGCCTCTGCAAAATGGCTGTGTGCGTTCTGAATGTGACACAAGGAGCAGCGAGGGGAGACGTCTAAGACCACATACTGTTAGTCCCTTGGAGAAGTACTTGTCTTACTTCATGTAGCAAAATATTTGCTCTTCCCCTCCTAAAAAAGTCAGTTCTAATGAAAGGCCCTGGTCCCCACCCAGCCCCTGCTTTGGCAGCCATGACAGGCTGCAGAAAACATCCAGCAAGACGTAGGCCTCTGACTCAACAACCCAACCTTGCCCTAGTCACTAGGAAGCCAGATACCGTCCATGTGGCAAGGAACCAATCAGAAGTCAGCTAGCAGGCTCTGGATATGCTTTGCCGATAACCGTGGAATGCAGAGCATAGCAAGCACCCTGAGATGGCCTCTAGGCAAAGCAACCTTGCTGTAGCTGCAGCTGACCAATCAACACAGGGCATGTTGCCCAAGCCAGGAGGTGCACCAATCTTGAGACTGTTGCCATGCAACTAGCAAGCCCCCAGACACTCTCTCCCGAGCCACTGCTGCTCGAGGTCCTCCTCCTTCAATCGCTGTGTTGGATGGCCAAGGGAACCCAAGTTAACTCATAAAATTAAAGACTCTTTGCTTTTGCATTGGATTGGGTTTCATAGTGATTGTGGGGGTTCAGAGTTTGGGCACAACACTAGTACCTTAAGGTGGTTCACAACAGGAGCATAAGGCTTAACGGGCCAAGGACCAATTTTCATGCAAAGGATGCTACAGTGTAAGAGGCCAGAGTCTAACTAATGGAGTAGAGCCAAATGAAGTGTGTCAGGGCCACTCACGTGGGCGGTCTAAAAGGTGTGGTGATATCTCGCTTGTACAAATAAAGCCTGTCTGAAGGTCAGAGAACGGAGCTTGCCACCAGCTAACCACAGAGGTCTGGAGCTCTGTACAGACAAGAAGTGAGGTAGCTTGGGCGGAAACAGGATATAAGCAGGGAGAAACAGGAACTCGCTCTCTTGTCTGCTGAGATGCTGAGGAGGTAAGGTGTGCTGTGGCTTGTTATTTCTTTCTGATCTGTCAGCATTTTCCTCAATATCTGACTCTGGATTTTTATTATTTAGACCAATTAGGAGCTCTATTTACAAAAGGGTGGTGTGGAAACCCAGATAGAGTGAAGAAAGCAAACTATGAGTTAGGGGACAGCAGCAAAGGATGAGTTTGGGTTTTGTTTGTTTGTTTGGTATTGGTTTTTTGCTCTTGTTATTTCAAGGAACTGGTCCAGGAATTAAGTATATAAAGGCAATGGGAACCAGGCTTCTCTGGCCTATGCACAGAAAGGGAGAAAATGTGTACCAGCCTTGTGATGTCAGATTAAAACTAGATGTGGTAACACAGGCTCATGGTTTCTGGATGGATAGATGATGATATACCAATGGTGGGTCCAGAGGACAGCAAGCTCTGGTCTTTATTTAGCCCATAGGGCTCCAGATTCTAGGGCTGGATTGCTTTCAGCTTGATGCTCCCCTGCTTAGCAGGAGTTGCACTGCTAACAACTCTACTAGGGCCTTAAATATTCCAAAGGAAAGGCCACGTGTCTGGGCAGTGTTGAGGGAAAATTTGTGAGGACAAGTCCTGGGGATGATGCATTCACATGAAGCAACTACTTCTAGATGAAAAGTCATGTTTCATCTGTCTCTTCTTCCCGCATGGAAGACTGAGTAGTCTCAGATGGTGGTGGCACAGGTGTGTTTCATCGTGGCATGCCCTGGGTCAGGGCTGGTACTTGGTATTCTTTGATCAACAGAGTCATCTTCAAGTACTTAGCAACATGGACACGGCCACTGCACTTGACATACGCTGACCAGAAATAGAAGAAACGTCACTAAGGAATCTACTTTAGAACACTAAAGAAACTACAGCAGGCCCCCAGACCTTAGCACAACTGACACTGTGATGGAGGTACCATTCTGGCCGTAAAACTCAACACGTCATCAGCACCACCTGCCAAAGTGAAAACAAAGACCTGATCCATCAAAACCCATAGTTCTGGGAAAGCCTCTAAATGTACTAATCTTGCTTTTTGGCTTCTATGTAGTTCTGCTTCTAAGTGTTGTTGCTAGCTGAAATGTCTTAACCCAGGGCATGGCTTTTGTACTTAAACATTCACCCTGATGGGGCTGGAGAGATGACTCAGTGGTTAGGAGCACTTGCTGCTCTTCGGAAGGTCCTGAGTTCAATTCCCAGCACCCACATGACAGCTCACAATTGTCTGATGCCATGTTCTGGTGTGCAGGTGTACATGCAGACAAAGTATCCATGTGCATAAAATACATAAATCAATAAGTCTAAAGAAAAGAAGTCACCCGGAGAAAGGCTGGAACCTACACTGCCATCCTGAACACCCAGTGTAGTTGCTGGCCAGCTAATAGAGACTTCCTGTCTCAGTGTTCTTCTCTGGCACACAACCCACAATGAAACCGGTGTAGGAAGTCCTGGACACCTACAAGTGTATACCAAGGTCACTGTTGACTAGTAGTTTGGGTCATTTCACCCGAATGAAATGGCACAATTCCCTGTGAAGGAAGCATCAAGCGAACTGACAGAAAACAAAACAAAACAAAACAAAAAAACTAAAACAACAACAAAAAACCCCTAAAACCAGGCTTACCACCTCAGAGATGTCCCCATCTCAAGGTAAGTGTGGTCAGGGAAGACTGAGTTTGAGCACTAGAGAGCATTCCATCTGATCCATTCTGTCTGAACCCTTTTTCAGGTTCGTTCCTGAACTCCATCAAGAAAAAGCCTTCTGGGCCTTTGGTGAAGCAATGATTTGCACACCTGCTGTCCACTGACCCAGAGGCTGAATGGGGGGGGGGGGTTGTTTAATGCCAAGAGAGTACAGCTATTAGGCCTTTATTATATCTAAGAAATGAGCTACCTGGTCTTCCTATGACACTGTGAGGTCTTTGACAACGGAGACAGAGTCTGTCTCACCCCAGGTCTGTCCCTCTAGTGCGCTAGGGAGCCATACTGAGTGAGCAGCTCTCAGCAGCAAAACCAGCCATGTTTTCAACCCTGCTAAGGGCGGGCAGTCAGGCATACTGGGAGGGTGGCTGCAAGAGTCCTCCATGTTGCTGTTCCCTCTCCCTCCCCAAAGCTCCATGCTTTTCTGCTGGCATGTGACGTCATGCCTCTGCTAACTCTGGGACTTGTGCCATTTTTGTTGTTCCCGTTTTTTACTTTATGAGATGAACTTTCAGATACTTCAAGCTGTGCAGCCATGGTAAATGGGTAAGAAGTTGTATATAGGTAATGGCAATATCCCCATGCCCTTACCTTGGGAACCTGATACCTGACCCCTCTAAAAAGGGAATTATGTTTCTTGTCCATTGCCTCTCAGCTCAGGTTCCTTTCCTTAGGTCTGCTAAACAAGGGAGCAAGCAGCCACTCTTCATCT